AAACTAAAAGAAACGTCTGAAGACCAAAGTCAGGTAATCAAGTGTTTTACAGATCTGTTTACTCTTACGATTTTGCCGTATTTTGTATGGATTTTTAGTCTAAAATACGTCTCACGTTTTGCTGTTATGAAAATACGGAAATTCTTTAGGAATTTAGCGGTGAGTTTTCGTAATAATCTGTCTTTGTTTACGCTTTTGAATTGCTAAAAAAAGAACAAGATTTCAAACACTTAAGTGATATCGGGTTACCAAAACACTGTGGTATTATATAATGACAAAGATCATGTTGTTAAAAAGTTTTTGTTAATAATTAGAAAAGCGGTTTTCTTTCATAAAATATGTAAAAATTAATGGAAAGTTCAATCTTTACTGGTAAATGCCAAATCTCACGGAGAAATCAAATCGAAAATACTGAGAGACCACGGTATGGGAAAACAGATTTTTTTTATAATGAATCTGGGGCCGTCTTAAATGTGTAAATGATGTGTGAATTTATGTTAAATACACAGGAAAAGTAAAAATCTAACATAATACTGTATGTGTACTTTAAAAAGCGGGGTTAATATTTTAGTGGCTTTGATACAGACAACAATGCGCTAATTTATGAATAACACTAACAAATCATTTACATATGTAGCGCTGATTTATGATGATGCCAACAATTTCATATCCAGTGATTACGCTAAATGTTTAATAGTTACGCCAAATTATGTACACACACAGTACCTTAAGGCCTTAGAGAACTTGCTATTAGACAATGAAAATGCAATCATTATGATATGCAAATTTCACGTTTATTTACAGGAAGATGTCCGTAACACATTTTGTGAGATACTCTGTGATCTGTACCAACAACTGTGGACCAACACGTCAGCAACAGGATTAAACTGGTGGTAAAACTGGTCTCCATCTCCTCAGAGCACGGCATCAAGTATTAATAGGACCAAAGAAAATTTGGTAAGATCGGATGTAATCAGATACTAAAATTAACTTCATTGATAACTATGACCCTGTTTTATTAACTAAAGCTACTTTTAATACATGTACATGACATTGTTTAATATTTGACAGCTGTTAAGCAACATTGAATTTTCAAACGCTCATGATTATTGACAATTTGTATTCTAAGCAAACCAGAACAAACCTGCCAATTTTATAAAAGTAATGAAGAAAACAAAAAATATGACATGTGTATTGAATAATTTAAATTATAATGATTATTTGGGGAAACACGCAATAATACATGTGTATATTACAAATTATGGAATTTCAAATATTATTGATAACAATCAAATGCTGGAGTTACAGTCAGTATGATGCAATATATATTCGGACAAGATGGTGGTGTATTTACATTTTTGTCACGTAAGTAACAAAAATTGATGTAGATAAAAAGGTTTAAAAATATCCATGGTATTTTGTGTAGTTATTTTTAACCTTGAGGGTCATGTGACATTTGATATGTCACATGATATTACCGGTATTAATACCCCCCGCAAACGAAGTTTGGGGGGGTATATAGGAATCACCTTGTCCGTCATTCCGTCAAGCTCTCCGTCCGTCTGTCCGTCTGTCTGTGCATTCGTGTCCGGTCCATATCTTTCTTACAGAGGGACATTAGAATCTACTACTCCACACTTAGATTGCTCATGACCTAAGGGTGTGTCATTACCTTGAGCCAAGGTCATTCGGGGAAGTTCAAGGTCACTGTAAGAAAAATTTCATAATTCGTGTCCGGTCCATATCTTTCTTATGGGTAAACATGGTAGGTTCTCATTTCACACAAAGATTGCCCATGACCCAAGGGTGTGTCATGACCTTGACCCAAGGTCATTTGGGAAAGTTCAAGGTCACTGGAAGAAAATTTTCATAAATCATGTTTGATACATATCTTTTATAGATAAACTTGGTAGGTTCTCATTTCACACTAAGATTGCCCATGACCCAAGGGTGTGTCATGACCTTGACCCAAGGTCATTTGGGAAAGTTCAAGGTCACTGGAAGAAAAATTTCATAATTGGGGTCCGGTCCATATCTTTCTAATGGATAAACTTGGGTGGTTCTAATTTCATACAAAGATTGCCCATGACCCAAGGGAGTGTCATGACCTTGACCCGAGGTCATTTTGGGAAGTTCAAGGTCACTGGTAGAAAAATTTCATAATTCGTGTCCGGTCCATATCTTTCTTATGGATCAACTTGGTAGGTTTTTATTTCACACAAAGATTTCCCATGACCCAAGGGTGTGTCATGACCTTGACCCAAGGTCACTGGAAGAAAAATTTCATAATTCGTGTCCAGTCCATATCTTTCTTATGGATAAACTTGGTAGGTTCTCATTTCACTGAAAGATTGCCCATGACCCAAGGGTGTGTTATGACCTTGACCCAAGGTTATTTGGGGAAGTTCAAGGTCACTGGAATAAAACTTTCATAATTTGTTTTTGATACATATCTTTATTATGGAAAAACTTACTTCTGAAAAACCCAGCGGGGGGTATTTTGTCCCGTTTGGACAGTTCTAGTTTCATCTGCTTTGTTTACAAAATCCGACAGCAGAAAGTAATATGGGTTGAAAAGGAAAAGAACTCAGTAGTGAGGTGAAAGAAGTCGCCAATAAATTATTAAATGAGGGAAAAACTGTCAGGTATGAGGAAGATGTTCTTGGGTGTATCCCACTCTACCATTGGATCACTAAAAAAACGTTTTGAAGAGAGAGCTTCAATAGAAAACATCCCGCGAAGTGGACGATAGCCTACTGTGACAGATCGTGACTATAGATACTTAGTAAGGTTCACCGTTGGTACAAATTAACAGGAGGGTTAGTTTAACAGACATTACCAATAAATTCAATGAAAACAGGAATATTTCAGTATCTAAACGTACCTTGCAGCTGCAATTACACAAACATGGATTTACACGACATGTATCGAAGAAGAAACTTGTGATAGGGGAGGTAATTCGAAGAAAAAGATTGTCATGGTGCCGGGAAAAACGAAAGTTAACTGTGGAAGGATTTTGGAAGAAAGTTATTTCTCAAACGAATCAAAAAATGTTATTTGACATGATTCAAGGGTGTATGTTTGGTGCAAGAGGGGTGAAGGGTGGAGGCCTGATTTGGTGTCTCAGCCCTGTAGGAAACCATGCTTTGAGATCATGATCTGGGGTTGTATTACTTGGCATGGAATTGGTACCATCACGGCAGTAAATGGAAATTTTAACGCTGAAAAATACCAGGATATTCTTGATAACAATCTGTGGCCAGTTATAGCTCGCCATCTTCCCTTTGGAGCCTATATATTCCAGGATGACAATGCCCCAGTACATCGTGGGAGGACTACCCAGGAATTTATGCACAGAAATAGAATAACTGGAATGAGCTGGCCTGCACAAAGTTCCGATATCAACATCATTGAGAATGTATGGTAACTTATAAAAAGAAAGTTACAGGCACGAGTTTGGAGGATTGCAAGTAAGGATGATCTTTTCCGCGAAATCCAGTGTACTTGGAGGGAGATCAGCCCAGACTTCGTTAAATGCCTCTACTATGGGGCGCCGTTTTGGTATTTACTGCCAAAAAGTGATATCACCTATTCAAATAGGTGATATCACTTATTCGAATAGGTGATGTCACCTATTCGAATTAATGATATCACCTATTCATTTTCAATAGGTGATATCACCTATTCGAAAAGGTGATATCACTTATTCGAATAGGTGATATCACCTATTCGAATAGGTGATATCACCTATTGGAAATGAATAGGTGATATCACCTATTCGAATAGGTGATATCACCTATTCGTGCTGAATAGGTGATATCACCTATTCGAATAAGTGATATCACCTATTCGAATAGGTGATATCACCTATTCAATTTGAATTGGTGATATCACCTATTCGAATAGGTGATATCACCGATTGGAATTTCTTAAAACATTAAATAGTGAATGCTCCCTATAATATAATTATAGATTACCACTGGAATCAAGAATTAATTCGGACTACCCAGTTTTTATGCTTTTTTCCGAGTTTTTCCATTTTTTTCCTAAAGTTTACTTGATAGATAAGTGAAAAAAATAAATTTGTGAGCAAAACAAACTACAATTTCTATTAGGGTTGATAAAAATTAAATGCAAAGTCTCCTAGAATGATGAGTTATAAAACGAAAGTGAAAGTAAATAAAATTTAGGCACCAAGGGAGCTGTTGTTATTTCATAAATAATTTGAATAGGTGATATCACCTATTCGAATAGGTGATATCACCTATTCGTGCTGAATAGGTGATATCACCTATTCGAATAAGTGATATCACCTATTCAGATTTTGAATAGATGATATCACCTATTCAATTTGAATAGGTGATATCACTTATTCGAATAGGTGATATCACCTATTCAATTTGAATAGGTGATATCACTCATTTGAATAGGTGATATCATCTATTCAAAAACTGAATAGGTGATATCACCTATTCGAATAGGTGATATCACTTATTCGAATAGGTGATATCACCTTTTCGAACAGGTGATATCATCTATTCAAAAACTGAATAGGTGATATCACCTATTCGAATAGGTGATATCACCAATTGAATAGGTGATATCACCTATTCGAATAGGTGATATCACTTTTTGACAGTAAATACCAAAACGGCTCCCCATACTCTACCGATCTATTACCCGGAGATTAATGAATGTAATTCATCTAAAAGGGCATCTCACAAATTACTAGATAAGTTTCATTATTTATTTCATGTTTTTTTACTGGATATCTATACTCGAAAATTGGCCTGGTTTTGTGACGAATGTAAACATGCCGCCTTCTTTTCCGAATATATATTGCATCATACTGTAGGTGAACTTACTTGTGTGACTTATTAACCTCTGTTGTTATTTATATCATTCTCCATTAAGTTAACACTTATGTCTGACTAGGAGAGGTTGTTTGTTACACAAACTGATTAAGCATCAACGTAATAGTAACAGTAATTAAAATATTATTAATTTGTTTTCTGCAAATACTTGTACACAAGGATAGTAGAACTGTCCAATCCCCCAACCCAGAGATTGTGTTGATCATCAATACAGAGACCACTGGGAAATGAAGGACATCGATCTGATGTGAGGAGGAGAGTCAGGAACTGTCCATTAATGTCCAGCAGATGGACACTAGACCCAAATAATGAATAATAGCTATTACACACCAAAATGTGTCCCAGAACATTTGTACAGATGCCATATGGATGGAATCCAGACTGAGACTCCTGACCAGCGTAAGAGAACCGGTACTCTCCTGATGCAGTCACCACCACAACCTGACCGGCGTTCCAGTTTGATGTACAGATGTCACCATTGATGTTCTCAGTGATGTAGAGTATACTTTGATAGAGAATGTGCCCTTTATCATCCCACTGTATGTCCTGTAACTTCCTTCCTTTTCTGTTGTATCTGGTTATTTTATATTCTCTCTTTCTCTTCATCCCGACCAATATGTGTTCATTGATAGGAGAGGAGTAGATGGCTCCAGGCTGCCAGATCCCTGTCTCAATAAGTTTGTTGATGGACATGTCACTGGTTACTTTATATACTGCGTTTTTACTGCTATTATTGTAAAGTAGTTCTCCCTCTGTGGTGACTGTGTGGTAACCCTGGATAGACAACATTCTGTTCGATATTTCCTGTAGAACATTTCCTTCCATATCATACTGAAAGAGATTTCCGAAGTCACCACTGGTCCACAGTTTGTTTGGAGGTAAGAAAGACAAATGACTCAGAGACAATTTTTTGCCCTTGATAGTTTTTTCACTTACTTTTGTGACAGAGGAAAGCTCAAACGTTTCAGATAAATCTATTTCAATTTTACCAAATTGTTTTGCTATTTCCTCTTCATTTAGTGTACCTAGTGCAAAGGTTGGCAGTTTGGGTTCAGATTTGCTAGGCATTTTAAGGGTAGACAATGAAAAGTCTAATTGGAACTTTATGAGTTTAGTGTTTTTTATTGAAGGCATTTTACTCTCATAGTCTGCAGTTATTTTTTCCATGTACTTTATGTAACCCTCTGTTTCTTTCTGTTGTTCCTCCAAATCATTTAGTACAGAGTTCTCAATATCATCCAGTTTTTTATTATTATCAGCTAGTACACTGTCAACAGCCATCTTGAGTTCATCTGCCCTCTTGGTCATGGAATCTCTTACCTTGGCAATTTCTTTCATGGCATTATTTCTCATTGATTCAACTTTATCTTTAGCTTTAGGAATGACTGTTTTCCAGATCTCAGTTATTTCCTTCTGACATTGCTGTAAAATGTCATTGTAAATTGTTTCAAGATCACATTTATCATGATCACTGTGGTCTTGGTCAAAGCGTTTAGAACAAAGAGGATCCTGGCAAACTTTACAGTAAACATCTATATCTTGCGTTGGGTGGATCCTGCATTTCTCTGATGGAAGTTTTCTCTTTCTCTCATGATAGAGGACAATGTCATGTTCTTTGTTCTGCTCTAGATGGCTCTGTTTGCATTGATCACAGAATCTTTGGTGACAGGTATTGCAATAAAACTCAGAGAAGTTCCTACAGGATTCTGTGTCACACTCAATATAATGCTGGGCTGTATCTGGTACTTCATTCATTATTAATGATCAAACTCTACAAAATATTTATTATCAGAGTTTAGGTAATTAAAACAGTACTCTAGTCTTATATAAGTGGGTATAGCTTACAACATATTCAACAGGAATTTAAGTATTACCTTTTATGTGATCTGGTAGATAAATCTCTTTCGCAATATCTCACATTTGGGATTTATGTCAGCCATTTGTAATGTATGACATGTATCCAGGTAGAGTGTTATTTACTTTCCTGCTTCAAACAAAAACATATTGTTATTATGAATAGCTGAGGTGAGCCGAATGACAAAAGCATTTAAATCTCCATGCAGTCTTTGTATCAGAGCAGAAATTGAATAATAAGAGAATGAAAGGGCCATACTAGCACAAAGTAACTGTTATTTAAATATAAGAACAGCAAAAAGTGAAAATTTATAAATTATGTTAAGCGATACTGGTTATTTTAAAAGGTTTATATTTTAATGCGTTGGTTTATTTATAATATATTGACCTTGATCATGCTAATGTACTCTTCTTAAACTAGGGTCCTGGAATTCCTGCATTTTAGTATAAATTCACTCAAAGGACAATCTAGCAAAAATTTAAAACTTTAATAAACTTAACTTGATCAAGATCAAGAACAGGACAAACTGTACAGTAACAAGTCATTTGATAGAGAATGTGGTACAACTGTATGATTCTTAAGAAGGGCACTGCAAATCAGAGCATCCTCTTGCAAAGAACATATATATAAATCTAAGAGCATTCGACATCGATCCCATTGCAAATAAAGTCACTTTCTTTGAGAGAACAGGTCTCCCATGTGGTGCAGTGGTTAGAGGGTCTGCTCTAGAGTGGTGAAATAAGGAGATAATCCTTATGTCATTGATTTGAATCCCACTGTGGGATGTGGAAACTGGTCCTTCAGATGAGACCATATAAACAAGATGTTTGTGATGTGAAAAACTATGCACCCGGTGGCAACAAAGTTAAAAAAAAAACATATTTTAGCATAAAGGTCACAGTCAAGGTCACAAGGTCATTGATCTTGGTGGGTGCCATTTGAAAGAACTTGATTAGTGAAGTATGTATGGAGTCTCTATCTTGCATTGTTCAAAAGTTATGTTGAAGGTTCAAAAACACTATTTTAGCATACTTTAAACTAGCATACTTTTATTCGCGTGCGAGAAATTATCGCGAAGTTCGCGAGAGCCTTGTCATCGCGAATATTTCTCGCCGCTAACCAGCCCTTAAAGTCACTGTTTCAATTGAGAAAAGATCGTAGAAGGCTTGGTCGCGAAAATTAATCGTCGCGAACTAGTTTACCCCCAGTTAATCGCGAAATAAAGTCGTCGCTAATAAAAGTTTGTTTACAGTATATGACACAGTAGAGGTCACAAGGTCATTGACCTTGGTGTCAAATGGAAGGGCCTATTTAGTGGAGTATGCATGCCGAATATTAAGTCTCTATCTTTCTTAGCTCGAAAGTTATTTTGAGGGTTAAAGTTTGCCGACAAAAAAGCTATATTTAGTGTATAGGTCACAGTCAAGGTCACAACGTCATAGACTATAGTGTCATTTAAAAAAGCTTATTCAGTGGTGTATGCATACCAAACATGAAGTCTCAACTATCCATGGTTCAAAAGTTATGGCAAAGGTTAAAGTTTGTAGACAAACAGACAGACAGAACAAAAATAATATTCGTTTCAGATCTTTCGATATGGGCACATAAAAAAATCCCATGTAACAGTAGGTGAATACAGTATGGGACCAAAAAGACCCCTTTACTGCTCAATGGCCCTAATAGCTGCAGAACTGAAGTTCTCTGTTTGAGTTCTCTACCTGAAGTGAGAGACCAAAAAATTGGTGGTGTAAATGAAAAGTTTTTACAATGTATGTATCTGTAGCTCTCTGCTTTATCTTTCCAAATTTTCTCAGGCAGAGAGCTATGTTTCTGCAGCTATGGCCCTTAGTGCCAAGTAAAGGAGAAAATTTGCATCTCTCCACCAGCAAGGAGTGGCATCTCCATATGAGTGAAAAATTCTCAATAGGGAAATTCAACAATATACAACCAATCAGTCCATTTATCACAGGACTTATCACACCCATAAACAAACATGCATGATTTCATTACAATATCTCCTCAAATTTTCTTTCTGGGTGATAATGAAAAAAAAATCCAAATATTAATGTATTAGTAAGTGTGCTCTTGGCACACTGATATGAAATAATCTTAAGTTTGAATGCCAGTCTGAGGTCAATATATTTCAAATAATTTCACTCCAATTACAGGGCCCGGAAAGTCTTCACAAGTCGGTACTAAGTCAGACTGCCTATCACCTGATGTGTGGAGAATCTGTTGGAACACAGAAGTCATCACAGGACAGACGGCTTACTGTTGATGTACCCCTGAGAGACTTAAAAACAAGGGTTCACAAAATACAGATCCTGTCACAGCACATCTGGTCTCAAGGCTCAATGCTCTGTAAAGGGAATCTAAAAACTAGGTCAGTTTTAATTTAGATGTTGTGTGTATTCACAAGCTTCCTGAATTTATTTAAAGTCAGTAAATTAATTGATTTTTATGACAAACATTAAAAATATACAAAGTTGTTTGTTTTCCTTTTAGGAAACTGTTGAGACAACACATCATCCAAGTGTTTGTATCAATACTTCACTCTACTGTGTCAATGTATAAAACAAAGGAATCAGAGGACAAATACAAACAGAGTGTATCTGAGTTCATCACATGCCTCCAAAACACGACCTCCTCTCATAGTGATGGTGAACAGATAATATAACTATAACAGATCTCCTACACGGAGTTATGGGGACTGATCTATTTATAGTCAGGGAGTGTTTGAGTGGAATACTTGCCGTTTCTGATGATGAGGCTGATATGAGTACTGTAGGGAGACAGTGGGTGTATGTAGGTCTTCTCGGCATGCTCCTCCACAAACCAAGGTCACCTATTGATCCCGTGGTCAAGACACAGATAAAATTACAACTAAAACAGAGGGAGGTATGATTATTTACGAAACGTTTACATTAAGAAATTAATGTACAAAAATTTTTGCTCTTGATTTTATTTTTTTTTTCCTGTCGCAAAATTGAATAAACCATACATGCCAACTTTTGAAAATGCCCATGGGGTGACGACAATTTTCAAAGCTTTAAATTTGCGACAATTTGTCGAAAAAATATAGAGGATATCTATATTGTGTGATTTGATATTGGATTTATCCAACCAGTTGAAATGGTATATATATTTGCAAGCTTACCGAGCGAATATACACCATTTCAACAAGTTGGATAAAGCCAATATCAAATCACACAATTAAAGATGTTCTATTTATCCCATACGACTTTCGTTTTAACAAAACTTTGAGACTCCCCCTTCCAAACTACATGAATGATTGCTTATTCAAATCGATGACGTATGACTTGATGACGTAGTACTGTTGATGTTATGACATAGGCCTACCTCGAAAGAAAGTAGATCGTGTTCAAAATTTAGAATTTTTGCTATCTGCATCTTTGAAAACATTATGTGACAATTGGTGGAGCTTTACATCAAACGGACTTCTGACTGAAAGTTGTAAGGACCATTGGATCATAAAAATGAACTCATTTGGACGATGGCAGTACAAAACGTGATAGGCAAGGCTAGGGGCCTACTTGTAGATTCATTGTTGATCTGTGGTACTAGTAAGTTACACCTACATTACTAGGTAGGCATACGTAGCATAACATAAAAAACCTTATTGAAGATGTTAAAGGAATCTTATAACACAACAACTTTATCTGTTAGGCTTTACCTTCTCATGTAGATCTGTCTTCAAGTAGCCATGCAACACAGGTTCCTTGATAAAATAATTAAGACACTTCTTTGACATATACGAGTCTTTTCCTGGCTTTTAAAGATATTATTGCTCTTTGTCATTTATTTTATAACGGCAATAATAGGGATCACAAATAAATGTTTCAAATAAAATTTTGAAGCGTGGGATCGTGTCAAAACCGGAAGTGCTATTGGTAAAGCATCTACCCGTTGATAAAGCATAAGTTTATCCAACGGTCTGTATCACAAACACGTATATACTGGTGTCTCATTATATCGCGGTACTTAATCCTTTTGCATAAAAATTGTTATTCCAATGTTTTACTTTTAACTTTCATAAAAAAATATTCATAAACCAATCTATGGACTAACTTTTTAGTGTAAAATTATTTCCCAAGCTTGCATCGTTTAAGTTATTGTCTATTTTTAAAACAGGAAGTCTTATTTACCTCCAAAATTGGAGAGTCTCATTGTATCGCGGTATGGGAAAACATGGAAACTTGTAGATGACATGGACCTCAATTTTTATTTTTGAATTTACTATGTAATTCTACAGGAAAAGTTAATAAACATACAAACTTAAGACATTTAAAAGATGAGCTATAAGTATTATTTTCACTAGGTTATAGATTAAATGGTTAAAAATAATAAAAACGTGACTGAAAATCTGAAAAATTACGTTTTTATTAAATTTTTCTTTCAAACAGATGTTCCATACTTCTTAATCGTCAAAAAAGTAAACATTCGGACAAAATAAACATATTGTCCATCAATAAAAGGAATAAAGGCTATGTATCCAAGTTTTTGCGACCTACCGCGATACAACGAAACCCGCGATATAATGAGAAATGAGTATACATGAGATAAAAATGATTATGAAACACTTTTTTCAAAGTTTATAATATTGACATCACTTATTAAATGATACATACAAATTAAAGTTTTATTTTTTTCCAAATTTAAATATCTTTGCTTAATCAATAGTGTCACTCTGTTTATTAATTTACATTTCTTTGAAATTGTTTCTGGTAGTGGTATGTACCCTTAAAATCAAGTGTCACTTTATTCGATTCCTTATTAGTACAACTGTAAGTATATAGACAATGCATGATTAATTTTATATTACACACAAAACAATTTGGAGAAATAGGCCTAATTAAATCGTCAATTTTTTAACACAAGC